TGTATAAATTAATTGCTTCATCAACTTGTCCTTGTTCACGACGGATATTCGCTAGATTGTTCAGAGAATCAGCATGTGTTGGACATTGACTTAGGGCAGTTTTGTAGCATTCTTCGGCTTCGGCAACCTGAAAGCGTAAGTAAACGAACTGCTGTGAGAGACAAAAAGGACAGATCGACATACTTTGCCTTGGACTTTCAGTGCGTTTGCTAAATTACAATAAGCATCCGGGAAATTTGACTGCAATTGTATTGCTCGCCGATAAGTTTCAATGGCTAAATCGATTAGACTAGAAAAAGACAATTTCAATTCTAGATAACTATTGAGTATTGCTTCAAATACTTCTGTTCGTAATAGACACATGCTAAATTGCCATGAACGATCGGATGATTTGGCGAAAGAGTAAGTGCTCGTAAATAAGCAGTTACAGCACTAGAAGAAGAAGATCGAATATATTTGATATTCTGCTTTTTTACAGTTTAATCAAGAAAAGTCTATTTACCGGTCGAATATTCGTGCTTCTTTCAAAACATTTCCTAGATTAATGTATGCATCGAGAAAATTTGGATCCAGAGCGACTGCCTATGAGGCAAATAAAACAATTTCTAGACGTACGTTGATACATTTATGTGAACAGACCTTTTCAAAATGATGAATAGCCAACCATACCTCGCCTTGGCAATTAAATATACATCCTAAATTACTCCATGCAACAGCAAATGTCGGCTGAGTTTTAATCACTTTTAAATAACATTCCTATTCGAACAAAAGATAAATTTTCAAGTTTCTTCTCGTCTGTTTTTGATATTTACTTTAGCTTCTTCTAAATAACCGAGTGCTTTTAAAAGATTTCCTAGATCATTTCGAACACCATATAAATCCTAGAAAATACACAGTTTAATTTCCAGTACAACCATTTCGTCTAATATTTACTGGATTGTATTGCAGTGCTGTTAGATACGCACTTACAGCACCTTCCATATCTGAATTGGCAATGAGCGCAGCAGCATAATTGATACTAAATCAAAGAACACAATTTTTTATAATCCAAAAAGAGTATTTTTGACGTACTATCCATCAGTAAAATCTGGTTTCAATTGTAGAGCTTTCACATAATGGTCAAGTGCTAAATGTAGAAGACCTTTTTCTTTATATACATTGGCTAGATTCGAATGAGCTTCAGCTAGATGTGGATCAAGTTTCGTCGCTAATAAACTATATTCCATTGATCTGTAAACGAAAGACGATGCGCAGTGCAAAGAATTCTATGTGAATGTCGATTTACTGATCATAACGACGCATTTGAAAGTAAATCGAGCTAAGTAGAAGTAATAAACTTGTATTATCGGGTTCTTGCTGATACAACTGAAGACAATATTGTTCAGCACGTTCAAAATTTCCATTTTGATAATCACGGTTTGCGCGATCAGCAACAGCTATGACAGAAAACAAACAATAACAGAAATTAACCTTCTACTTCAATGAAAGGTTTGTACTTTGAAAATCAAATAAATTAGTAGGAGAACGCAACGTGTTTGACTGATGATATTTTTGATTTGGACTGGATAACATTGTAGAAGAGGATGGCGACGAGGCAATCTTCATAGGAGACGTATCAGGTGGAATTTCTGAAAGAATAAACAATAAAAGGAATCCTATAATTCGAAGAATTACATCAGATTCTTACCAGTCGAATTATTCATGGTAGACTGTGAAATCGGACTCATACCTTGATGAGCTGCATTCAAAAATAAATCATTTGATTGGTATGATAGAAAGAATCTTCAAAACAAAACAAAGTGACGGTATTATTTTGTCATTCATAATCACCTTGGATTGGCTTTTTCGTAAGATGGAAGGAATAAAATTACTATTAGTTGATATTATTGACAATATACCAATACGAGCAATGAGTAAGCATCAATCAGCTGCTAGACAGATGTCACTGATGGATAGACGGATGTTGTAAGATTAGACACGGGAATAGAAGGATCAACTCGTTTTCTCACATATGCTTATTCAGTCTTCTGATCAATGATTACACTTGTTCGGTGAAACTCAAGTTATGGAATAAATTGGGTTCGCCTGAAGATAATGTTCTTTTTCTTCTTACTGAACGATATGTTGATTGGAGAGATCATATTTCATTTTGCGTATATCTTAATAGAGACGTGCTTTCTTTTGTTTGTATTCTTTTTTTCGTCTTCTATTAGTGTTTATATAACGGTTGTAACTCTCGTCGCCGAGAAGCATAGATAGCCGAAAAGGACGTATGATCGATTATCAGTGACGAGGATTTACACCATTTTATCCTCTAGAAAATGTCCGATCAAGGTTCCTAAATTAAATTTTCCTATGACCTTTCGCGAAGATATTCAACTCTCTATATATTTTTCAAATATTCGTCCGAACAGTTCGATTGCTGACTGTTATATACTCAGATGGAAATCTTTGAGAATTTCTAAACATCGGACTACTAGGACCGCGCTTGTAATTTTTCAATCAATCAGTTACTGCTATAGCGGCGCAATTATGTTGATTACCAGGTACATGTCTATTGATGTAGTTTTCTTGTGAAACAAATGTCAACAGCATCAATATTTTTTATTTGAAAAGCTGAGTATAGTCCTTGGATAATATCTTTCGAAAGTCAGTACACGACGAGCTTTACAGAAACAGGGAAAACAAGTAAACACAGGGCCAAAACTTGCGAAATTTCCTTTACACTCAAAGTCCTCGACGTGTGTCACAGTGTCGCTGAGACCAATTGCAGATATGCAAAATCTAAATAGAGATATTTTAATACAGCGTGGGAAAAGAAGCGCGATCAAACTGAGAACAAATATATAATGGCAACGACATGAAAGTAAGTAATACGTATAAAGTGTAATTAAAGCTGCAACACATGTGGTTAAAATATAAACAATAGCAAACAGAAGTACTCCACATAAGCACAAATCCTTTTCTAAATACTTTACCCTATTTTCATTCCAGTTTTTTGTAGGATTCATCCGGCGACGATGGAACTATGTAAAAATTAAAAGATGAGTCGAGTCAATTCATTTTCTATGCCGTACATCAAATTTTACGATTCTTCTGCGATAAACATGTTTTTGCTTTAAAGAACAGCAGTATGTAAAAAGTTGGAAATAATCTTTCTGTTTTACACTTTACATGATGGTAGGAGTTTACGACTGTTCATTACCATAACATGTCACTCTCGAAAATTCCTAAACACTTTTCTCAATACTGTGCAACTAGAAACATATGTCGCTCTAACTTCGTAGAATTCCGTATCTGTTTTCGAAAGTTCCGATCTTATCGACATACGTTCTAACTTGGCTTTTAACGCTGTTCCTATTTTCAAAACTCTTACTTAAACTTCACTTATGGATCCCAAGTTTCACATCAACATTGTTCCAACTCTGACGAGGAAAACTATCAACCCAATCAAAGATGTTGAAAAAACTTTTCGATCATTGCCTGTCTTCACATTTCGAGTCAAGTTTCCAACTTATCCACACTCTTTCGAAAAAAAAGAAATATACGATCAATAAATGGTTACTTACAAACAACAAGTTTTAAATAATCCCAAAAACTGCGTGTTGGCCGAACTGTTGATGGCAGTGAATCTTGATTTGGGAGTTGCACTTGAATCGCAGCTGGTCCTATGAATTTGAGAAAAGTATTATTTTCCCTTAAATAAATCTTAAAGATAGCTTATCTAGCACTATTAGAAATTCGCTTAGAAATTCTAATGCTGGTCTAAGCCAACAATGAACTCGAGAAGCAAGCGATTAAATAGCTGGTCTCGTTCGTATATACAAATGAACTTTTTACTTAGGCTAATATATTCATGAAGAAAATGATTGAAATTCAATAATTGTTTCGCATGCTCACTTCTCAAAGATACATTACAGCTCAAGTGGAAGTAACATTAGATGATTTTTTTCTCAAGAGAAGCGTTTTATCAGCTAAAATATGAGCACGACTATCGATGCTCCCATTCAACCTCACCTCATCTTTCACTTATGAAAGTGACAATAAATAAAGAATTTTCAAAAATAGATCAGTAAAGATAAAAATGTGTTTGACGTCCAAGACGTTTCTTATCGCTTTGTTCTTGATTGAAGAATCTTCACTGAAAATGAAATAGTTCTTATCTAAATATCTACAGTTAATCTGAGACTGATTTTTATTGACGTATGCGCTGAATAAAAACGATGATACGAAAAATGAGACATTCTTTCTTTGTTGCAAATGTGTTTTCAGTTCTTTCATATTCAGTAAATAAGGTACTCACGATCTGAACGATAAGCGACCCAGGTCGAACAATCCGGCACGGAAACGGCCCGTTCCATGGTATTCCGGAGATTTCATGGAATCCTGCTTCAGGAATCATCGTCCTGGGTAAGAAATTTGCTCCGCTCGTTGATTGGAACTCTGAAAAATGAACATTGTAATATAACTTGTATGGAATGATAAAAAACACGCAGTTTTCGAAGAGTCTGTTTGTGCTTGCTGTCAATGTTGACTTTTCTTCTGATAGTGGCTCATTTAGGAAAAGGAAAAATCGAGTTTTAGAGCTATGGAAACTAAGAACAGCTGGAAATCTTTGTTTGTCTGGTTTTCAGATTGGAATCTATGATAAATATAGTTAGTGGTCCGATGAAATGGTGTTATTAGACATACATGGTTTGATCAACTGAATCATTTTCTGTTTTATGTATGTCGCCTTCGGTTCTTGAAGGACACATAGAACTATCATACGATTTGATGTGTTATAGCGTTTTCCGGGAAATTGGGAAATTCTAACTAAAGCACGAAACCAACTTTCGATGTATAATGTTCCCCACAGCTATGCCCGATATTTTCACCTTGGCTTTCCCTCAGAAACCAGGCAACTCATCGCTACTTACATGATAACCCCTCAACAGCCACCCATGCACTCTCCCCTACACCCTCACAGAGATGATACCGCGCATCACCCTCCCCTTCTCACACCCTCCCCTACACCCTCACAGAGATGATACCGTGCATCACCCTCCCCTTCTCACACCCTCCCCTACACCCTCACAAAGATGATACCGCGCATCACCCTCCCCTACACCCTCACAGAGATGATACCGCGCATCACGGGACATAATGGGCATAATCGGGCATAATCGGACATAATGGGGCATAATGGGGCATAATCGGGCATAATGGGGCATAATGGGGCATAATGGACATATTAGGGCATAATCGGGCATAATCGGGCATAATGGGGCATAATGGGGCATAATGGACATATTAGGGCATAATGGGGCATAATGGGGCATAATGGGGCATAATCGGGCATAATGGGGCATAATGGGGCATAATGGGCATAATGGGGCATAATGGGGCATAATGGGCATAATGGGACATAATGGGGCATAATGGGCATAATGGGGCATAATGGGGCATAATGGGCATAATGGGGCATAATCGGGCATAATGGGCATAATCGGGCATAATGGGGCATAATGGGCATAATGGGGCATAATAGGGCATAATGGGGCATAATGGGGCATAATGGGGCATAATCGGGCATAATGGACATATTAGGCCATAATCGGGCGTAAACGGCATGGATACCCACACCAACACCCTCAATTATGCCCCATTATGCCCCATTATGCCCGATTATGCCCCATTATGCCCGATTATGCCCCATTATGCCCTATTATGCCCCATTATGTCCATTATGCCCCATTATGCCCCATTATGCCCATTATGCCCCATTATGCCCTATACGAGAATTATAGCTGCTCACAGTGTTCAGTTTGTCCGATCAACAAATTCAATTTCCGGGAAATCAGTTGGTACCCAAAACATATAGAATTTCCCGGTAAACGCTATAACACATCATATGTATCATACAGTATTGATCTGTTAAAAGAAGTGCTTACTTTCAATCATGTGTGATTAAATACAAAAAAAAGCTCTACTCTCCGTCTAAAATGTCTTCTTTAACAATGCATTATTATTCATATATGTTCACAACGGAGTATTAGCAGATAAAGCAAAGTGTGCACTCGGACATCTGGCGCAGATGGGATAGATGATGCTGTGTAGGCCGATAAACATAAATTATACAGGATTATTCGAAGAAACTAGACTATATTGTACGGATCAGGGACGGATCTAGTCAAGGTCTACTTGTAGTATCCGCATATTGATGTTAATCGATGCCGCTTTACTACAAAGTGCTGGCTTTCATACGTTACCAAAAGTAACATACATTAGCTACTTACATATATTTTTCATTCGAATTCTGGTATCGGTAAAATATGCCACTCCTATTTGGAAAGAATGATTTGAACATTGCCATGGGTAATTCGAAATTCTCATCCAACGGCGCATAGAAAACATCATTTTCTTTCTCTTCATCAATTAGCCGTATAAATCTGAAACCATAATTAAGCTCTTAAGCGGCGCCATAGCAAGATCATATTTCCCTACCTTCTCATTTTGAGCTTCCCAGGTCAACAAATCCGACGCTGGATCCGATCGGATCCGTCGAATTCCTGTAGGATCCGAGTATGGAATTGTTCGACCTGGGTCTTTAAAAGTACAGACAGTAAAATACTATTACAGCAGTGAAATCATTTGATCTGTATATCACATCCACACTCTCTCACAAAAGAGTACTAGGTATGAGTGTCAATTATATCAGTGGAAAAAGCATCAATAAAATAGAATGCTCATAATCAGAATACAAGAACTACGCAGAATTGAATATATTTCTTTCGACTAAAAAAAAGATTTTACAACTACAATTTTGTTCGTCTGTTGGCCGAAATTATGTTTGAACATCTCCATATGTACCCTGCTGAGCACGATAATATTCCGGAAAAGTTAACAATTGTAAATATGAAAAAGCGTATGCTTTGACACCTGTATTCGCCAGTGCATTTTCAATAGATGTGCCGTAGCGTCGAAATTGATTGATTATCTCATGTAAATCATGTTTGTCGACACGGTGATTGTTCACAAGCAACTGTCCTTGTTCTAGCGTGAAACCCATTGAAGTGCGATCTTTTGCACTTTTGCAGCCGGTTACTCGAACACCATAAGCTCGACGACAAACCTAAAATATAGTTTTGCAGAAAATTCGAAATGATAATCATTTTCTGTTTACTTTCTCAGCAAGTGTGAAGATGTTAACGTTTTTCGGTTTGTTCGAGCGAATTGTGTGTTCTAGCTGTTTCAATAAATCCGGTATATCTTCTGTAAAGAAATGATTATGTGTATTGTTCAAAAATGTAATTTTTTATCTTCAGTAACTACCAGGCAAATTATTGATACTTTTGTTGATATATGTTTTCAGTTTATCTAAGTTGTTATAATTGAGATCACTTTCAACTTGTGATGTTGTGAAGAAATTCATTCTATAAAGCCAAATTGAATTATATCTTTTTACTCTTTCGGTTACCTACGATCGTACGCGTGCAGCTAGGGCTCGTTCATTAATACCAACATTAAAAACAACAGGTACTATTCGAATAGATCCGCCGTCTTTGAGTTCTTTCGGTAGTCTCGCGAACATATGAGCAGGTAGAGGTAGAACAACTTTACAGTAAAATCTTGTACCAAAAAATCGTGGTTGCAGTACGTCATTGCTTGCCGTTGCGGGAATAAACCGTACATGAACACGTTCTAAAGCGTGGATAGCTTCGACAGAATCTTCCAGCATACCTAACTCATCGCCATCGCACGTTAGGAGATATTCAAAAGAAATCAGCATTCCTATAAATGAATTTAATAAACCGTAGAAGAAAAAACTGAAACGATATCTATGTTCAAGTAGATTTATGATAGAAAAAGGTAATTAAGCCATTAAATATTTCATGCGTTGGAAAGGAATGATCGTTTTTCTGTTGGTAAAAACAGTAAGAGGTTTTCTGGGTGCTGGTGCTTTCAGTACAATGACTATTCGAGATGGATTCAATTCAGGCTGCATGGGGAAGTTAAGACAGATTGGCGGCGGTATTGTCAGAGGAAGATTTGATCGCGAACAATTGATTGTAGGAGGCCTTTGAGAAGTCCTTCTTGAAAAGCTAGTCTCAGTTTTAAGTTTTTTCGGTAGCGGTTTGATTGTGATAGGACTTGTTCGTTTAGTTTGAAATGACATGGGCGTCGTGGGTGGTGGGGGTGGTGGCAGTCGAACAGGAGGTAATTTGATGGATGACATTTGCAATTTGGATACTTCTTTGATGATATTTTGATGTAGTTTTGGTCGTCGCCGTGCACGTTTTGAAGGTACTATTTCATCCGATGACAAATGATACAGTTTCGATTGTGAAAGTCGATCAACTGTTTCCATCGAGAATGTTTTTATTGGAGTGCGTGGACGCGTCCGTGGCACAGAGCAAATTTTTGGTGCAATTTTCGTTGTTGATTGACTCTTTTGTTTCTTACGATGATCGAACGATGTTGGTAAAATCGACGTACGAGTGTTTGTTGTGATCGTTGTTTGTATCAATGATAAGGCTGGTGTGTACAACTGTTGAGTGGAGTCCAGAGAAGTTCTCGATGGAGTACGAGATAGAAATGAACCGTTTTCATTCGAGCAGTAATTTGGCGGCCGATGATGATATCGGTTTTTGATGATTCGTCTGTGAAAATCTTCCATAGTACCTGATGACCGTCTCTTCTCATCTTTTCTCATGGTCAATGTAGACAGATTATCGACTGTTTTCTTTTGTTCGTTTTCATTTCGTGCGACATCACGTAACGGATTGTCAATGTCACTGAAATTCTTCTCGAAATTCAGTTTAAAACCTGCATGTTGTTGAGATAATTGGTCAAATCGATTCAAAAGTTGATCCAAGGAATTCAATACCGGAAGCATAGTAGTTTTATGTTTAAACGCGTATGCTCGTACGAAATATCGAATGATGAAATGAAGTGTTAGTAATCACATTGAAAAACTATTGCCAACAGTTATGTATGAAAGAATAACAATACATCTCGACTTTTTTCTTCTCTCGTCTCTCCTAATCTTATATACTCACCATTATTAATGTAGAGCTTCCAAGCTTGATCACTAATTTTAACAGACGATAGGAGAACATACACCGAGAATATAAGACATGTTAACTAAAGAAAAATACGAAATCAAAACAATAACAATGATTAAAGTGATGAAAATTTCAGGCGTATTTTCTTTTTTCGTGTTCTAATTACCGCTTGAGAAAAGGCAATGTCAAAACGTTCTCGAAATGCTTCAGGATAACGTTCTATTTCTTGACTTTCTTGGAATATATAACGAATAATATGTTTACAAGTATGACGCTCCAGTTCACTGGCGACCGTTTTCAAACTATTTAATTGTGTCATATTAAATGTTTGTTCATTTTTATGAATCGATTGTTTAATTTCTTCTAGAAATTTTCGTGCTTTGCTTTGTATCGTTTCCTTCAACAACCAAGCAATTATTGGAATTTATCGAAATACATCAAGCATACCGAGGATTCCAAAACTTCTTCACTGGGTACTTTTGATATCAATGGATTGATAACAACTTGTCCAGTTGAATTCGCTATGCTATCGAGATCTTTAGTTGAATATTCAAGTAAAGAAAAAACCTAATCATCAACAAAACTCTTGCAAGATCGATTAATGGCGATAGACATACAGCTTTGACAACACGTTGAAGCGACAGTTTCAATACAGAACGATCGATATTCGTCGAAGGACTGTCGAGAATATGTGTTAAATGATCTAATGCATCGTCAATATCACTATTCAGGACTAAAACATCTTGTAATTTATCTTGTAGAAAACATAGACGTTTGTTTTTTTCGCTAATATTTGCTTTCATTCGTGCTAGGCCACCGGTCGCAAAACGAGAATGATGAACAGCGGGTGCACCTAATGTTACTGTATTATAAATAGCTTCTGAAAGAGAAAATTGAATACACGAAAGGAAAGAAAACGTGCGATTGGATTACTTTGAGAAGGATCTTCATCATTGCTAACTAATAATTGTTGAAGATGTAAATTCATCGGAACATGTGCAATTTCCGGTTGCATACGTTCAATTGAACGACGAAATAAACGTCCTTAAAACAACTTCTTTTGAGTGAAAAAATAAGAACGAATAAATCTCACCATTACATGTCGATTCATGAGTTTGAATAGCACCGATGAGATCAGTATAACGTTGTAGGAAATCTTTATAAATTCGAGTACAATTAAGCCGATGAACTTCTTCACTACCGGTTAACTAAAAAATTTCTTTTATTCTTTTTGATTATTCAGCAAACCAAAGTACACACCGGTCCTAATTCTTCAGCAAATTGAATGAATTTTCCTGCGCGTTTTAAATAAAAGTTTCTAAATGGATCAGTAAATAAGTATTGAGCATTATCTGAGAAGATTTTCTTACAGATAACAAACAGGTGTGGAAAAATTTCCATCGTATTCTGACATCAGCTGAACAACATGGATCTTTTTCTCGTGCTCTTTTGTTCGAAATTCGAAATGTCTCGGTAGGAAATTACTCGCGATTTGTTTTAAATTCGATTTCTCATTTTCAATAAATGGCACCATCGATGGAGGAATAAATGCAGCTGGATTTGACTCTTCTGGTTCTGTTCCAACTTTGATATCAACTACCGTATTGGCCAACGATGCCATCTGAAAGAATCAATTGTATAACAAACACAAAGTCACAGTCAGACGCACTTGTCGCTTGATCAGTACGTTTTTAAATAGAAGTAAATGATGACGCATATATTTCACATCTAGGCACAATGAAAGACTATAAAGTTTATCTTTATTATGATTTCGTACATCATATTCTATAAAAAGAATATTTGTACAGAATAAAGCACCGCGAGGGTATACAAAAAAGAACAAACAAACATAACAGTTTATTCGTCATCTTTGTCGGTTATTCATTCTGTGTACAGATTGAAGATTTCCTTCGAAGAACGTTTATTTTCCTTTTGAGAAAACATAAAAATAAAGACAATCAACGACTACAAACAACAACAAGAAGAATAAGAATACAAGAAGAAGAAAAACAAAACAATAAATAATCCACCGTCAGGTCAATTTCTATTCTCCATGTGCTACTCGCTCACCTATATTGTTAACAACAATAATTATAGAAATGTATATAATCAATCATATCATAGTTTGGCTTTTTTGTTTTATCTCGCATATGAATAAAAACGGACAAGAGAAAAAAACAAATAGAAATAAAACACGTTTGTTTTCTATTCATACAAACACATTCACACACACACGCACGCAAACACATATGAATGTAATGATCTTTCTATTCATCATTTTCACTTGAAGCAGCTCCAGCACTGGCTGTTCCATTAACATCATTGTTTACTTGGCGAGATTTGCGTTCGCGTGGACTTTTTTTTGGTGAACGATCTAGACGAAAATGAATAGATTTGATTAGTTTTGTTTTTCAAAATAATACTTTGAGGAAGATGATGTTTTGGGATCCAATCGGGATCATAGCTGCCTCTGGTTTGTTGGTTTCCAACAAGACTTTGTGAACCTTGTTTGCCACTCATGCGTTTAACACGATTTGAAAGCAAATATTGGTATCCTAAGAAACCCAAGAGAACGAGAACGGCGAAGAGAAAGACATAGAGAAAGAATCTAAACCAAAGAATCAAATAAATTTTCGAGAAAATGATTCAATCAAGTGAATCTTACGTTTCTCCGTCAAATCCTTCGTCAGCATCAGTAAGATTGATGGTTTGATTGAAAACAACATTTTGAAATTGTTTTCCTTCCTAAAGGAACACAATTGTATCTTTACCGTAAGAGCAATTTGTTTCTTTTTTTTACATTATTTCGATAGTTGATTAATACAACCAAACCCATTGGTCGGCCATTGAAGGTTTCACTGGGCATGAATAAATATTCAAATGTAGCTTCGAGACCAGGCTCAAGAACTTTGTCTGATCGTAATGATGTGAAATTTTGAATGTAATAAGTAAAATCTTGTGGATAACGTAGAGAACCATCGATTGATTCCACCACAAAGTTTTGTGTGCCATTATTACGAGCGCCGACGAGTAAACGCGTTAGTTTACCGGCAATTAATTCTAAAAAAATGATTTTATTCGAACTTGATCGAACGTAAAGAGAATCTTACCATTTGCTCTAGCTGGTTGAATAAAAACATTGACTGTACGAAAATCTGGTGATGATGGAATACGTGTTGGATCTTCTCCTTCTGTGCCCTCCTAGAAAAAATCAACTCAGTTTTCATTCTCTCCTCAATAACATCTTTTTCTCCTACGAGAGTGTCATTTGGCGGTGTAACGATATCATCTGTGCGTGAGCTAGGCTCATCTTCTTCATCTACAGCAACATCAGCGTCCACAATGTCTTCTTCACCATGAACAACTAGAAGAAAAACAAATTTTCAACTGATAATCAATATGCGTTCAGCCTGACTTACCTATAGTAGTGAAAAAGAGTAAACCAAAGATGGTTAGAAATGCAAAGACTCGTGTTATATTCATTTTTAAATCTAAGACAATGATGGAAATGCTATAGCAATTAGAAAAAAAAGGTACGACGAAGACAAGCTCATAATTTTACCAACGAACACGCATACTTTTTTCCATAACCAATCAAATTTCAACTTTCATATGGCTTGTAATTATTTTCTTGGCGAAATTCCGAAAAATTGACTTGAAAATTAAGAATTTCTCTCGTTACGAAGGGTGTTTTTTTTCGAATCGAATTTATTACCGACATCTTTCCGTTTCTTTTTGATTAAGAAAACAACTTGGACAATGGCAAAGTCATCTCCTATTGGTTCATTTTCATATATAAGCCATTCATCGGTCGTTGATCAATTACTTGCTCAATCATCCTATCTAAATGTCGACCCTTTGTCGTTTTGTATTACCATCAACCTTATCACCAATTGAAGACGCATGTGTTGCCGAATTTAATGAATATAAAAAACGGAAGAAAGAAATTGCACAAAACAAATCGTCGATAAAACGTTTAACAAATACAGCAGGAGGAATAACAGCGAGCCTAACAAGTTCTAATGATTCATCACGGCATTCAAAAGATGCCATAAGAAATCCTGAACAAGCAAAAGAAGCAGCAAAAAGACTTGTTCAAAGTGGTGCTATTAAAGTTCAAGCACAGAGTAAGGATCAAGGGTTCAAACGTGCAGCGTCGAATTCAGGTCAAGAACGACCGATTAAAAAAACTGGTTTAACACCGAGTGCATCACCGTCAACAACAAATCAAACGAATCAATTTCAAGCTGTTTCATTTGTTAGTCCAAGTTCGACACCAAAATTTGTACAATCGAATTCTCATGAAAACAAACGTCATGTTGTTAATTATGATGATACAGACAATTATTGAAAAACGTTCTTCTTTTGTTTATGTGTGTATATAGAAATATATATATTTCTAGATTTGATAGAATAATTTAGTTCAATTTTTATCGAACAATGAGTCGAACTGCATCAGCCGGTTTTGATCGTGATATTACGATCTTTTCACCAGAAGGTCGACTCTATCAAGTTGGTAGGTATTTTTTGAATCATAGAAACATTTCTACGACCTGCCTTCGTTTAGAATATGCTTTTAAAGCAATCAATCAAGGCGGTTTAACAACAGTAGCTATACGTGGTACTGACTGTGTAGTTGCCATTGCTCAAAAAAAAATTCCGGTTAGTCAATTTTCTTCATTGAATTTAAAAGAGATAATGTTGATCGAAGCTGACCATCTCAAGGGATATGAACTAATTCCGTTTTTTCTTCTTCTAATGGATACCATGCAATGGGATCAGTTTGATGGTCATATAGTCCCATGAGACATTCTTTCTAAAAACTATGCTTTTCGTTGATGATAATACAAGGAAGGTGAATTGCCTTTCTAAACAATTATATTGATAAGATTTCCATTGAATCTAACTTCAATAACTTGTCTGCTGTCTCTCGTCATATAGGATAAACTTCTTGATCCTTCGTCTGTTACTCATTTACATGCAATCACACCAACTGTTGGATGTTTAATGACAGGCATGGTTGGTATGTATTCATACTTCGTTTGTCGATGTTGTTTTCAATGACTTGTCATTTTCGGTATTGTCTAGCCGATTCCCGTTGGCAAGTTCAACGTGCTCGATACGAAGCTGCGTCGTGGAAATATAAATATGGATTTGATATTCCGGTGGATGCTATCTGTCGTCGTGTTGCTGATATTTCACAAGTTTATACGCAAGAAGCTGAAATGCGACCACTTGGCTGCTGTAAGAACATGATTTGTTGCTTGTTGAGAAAGTTCTTGTTTGATGTTTAGGCATGATTTTGTTTGGCATGGATGAAGAAAAAGGTCCAATGCTATATAAAACCGATCCAGCTGGTTATTTCTGTGGATTTCGCGCAACTAGTGCCGGTGTCAAACAAACTGAAGCAAATAATTTCTTGGAAAAACGTATTAAGAAAAAAGCTGATTTAAGTTTCGAAGAAGCGATTGAATTGGCGATTTCAACATTAGCCAGTGTACTTTCAACTGATTTGAAACCCAATGAAATCGAAATTGGTGTTGTAACAAAAGATAACGTGAAATTTCGGTTTGTTTTCATTAATTCTAACTTGTTGAACGAAAAGAATCATTGTTGATCTTTACTTTTAGAGTCTTAACAGAAAGCGAAGTCGAACAACACTTAACACGAATTGCTGAGAAAGAATAAACTAAATTTTCCAATTCCCTTTCATGAACAATCAGTTCTAAAAATCCAGAAATTGTTGTTATTCGCACTTTTCTTTTTCTTTTGTTTTATTATTATTATTATTGTGATGAAGTAAAACATCCATTTGCCCATCTTTCATTTCAGATAAGAAAACGAACGAGCGTCATTGTGTATGGATGGCGACGGTTAGTGTCTTCTTTTTTCTGTTTACGGTCTTGTCATTCAATGCAATCGCCAGCAGTACATCGGGACATGTTCTCTCCAGTCGAAGCGATCCGTCTGTTCGCGATCGCTTGCCCAAAATTGAAATGAATGCTACTAGTCATTCAATTGTCATGACACTTCATCCAGCAACAATCAATGACGAGAGTATCAAACGTTTTCGTTTGCAATATGGAATCAATTTTCCATATCAACACACGATTTATATAAACAAAAATCAAACTTCATTATTTATTGATAAACTTTGTAAGAAACGAAAGAATCGATCGTTATTCAAATAAGTCGCTCTTTTTCGTTTAGAACCAAATCAAAAATATATTTTCTCATTGATTGCACTGAACGAAAATAATGATACAGTCATTCCCGAACAATTCTATGATTTTCAAATGCCATCCGAAGGTAATAAACCCTAAGATAGAACATCCAAAAGTAAACATGTGTTTTTTTTTCTTCATTCAGATGATGATCGTCAACCGCCGAAAACGCCATTAGAATTAAATCTAATTCCTCGTTCGAAAACGTCCGTTCTTTTGCAATGGACTGATGTCGATTATCCAAAGTCCAGTCGTTTACCATCATCACGTCGTTATAAGATTCAAGTGCACGAATTAGATCTGAATCAACAAATTGTAAAACAACAAGAAATCTTGACCAATAACGAACAATCACATCTGATTGAAAACTTAAAACCGTTAACAAACTATGAATTTGCCGTGAAGGCAATTGATGGTGATCTCGAAAGTGATTATTCGTTATCAATTGAGTATTCGAATGCGATCTATCCGATAAAACAGTTAAATATGATAACGAATAATGATCCGTCAAAGGTAACATTAACATGGCAAATGCCGGAAGATACAAGTGGAATTAAATCATTTATTATTTATTATAATGAACAAGGAGAAAGTGGACCGGAACAGAAAGTTATCGTACCTGCTGATTCTACGCAAACGACAATTTCAAATTTAAAACCGAATACAAAATATTTGTTTAGAATTGTTTCAGCTAATCAATTTAATGATGAATCAACACCCGAAACAAGATTGTATAAAACACCAAATGGTAAAACGAATTTCTATTCCTATCATCTATTTTCTCAACTGAACTTTTCATTTTAGTTGTAGACACAAAGAATGTTGAAGCGAATAAAGGTAAGTTGATTAAGTGATTTGAATGTTGACTTAATTTCCGATTTAGTTCAAAATATATTCGGCTGGCCATCGTTGGGATTATCAAATAATTCTTGGCTAATCATTCTGATTGTAATCAGTATCATCTGTCTATGCGTATTTATCACTGGTATTATGATTTGTTCTCGAACACAATGCTGTTTTTGTGTGTCAAATGATAAAAAACAAATTCACGATTCTCCAACACATCTCCATCAACGGCAATATTCTCCGACAAGTAACACAGCATCATCGTCGCTTATTAAACCAACTGATCTTTGGGCCGGAGCAGATTGTCTTTCACCACCGACAGCAACAATTCGGAATTCGAATGTTGGAGAGAGACACTATGAAACATCATCAACAGCTGGTAGTGGAACACTACAACGATGTAACCATCATCATCATCATCATCATCCTCTGTATCTTCACAATCAAGAAACGCAACCACTGACAAATAATCTGGAATCAAATATGGACCAACAACGACATTCATTTGTACCTTCAAACGATGGTTCGAGTTCGATTGATGGAAATACAAGTGGATTTACATTGAACGGAAAATTTAATGCTAGTGTCCGCTCAAGACCCATTGCCGTTGGCGGATCATTTGATCAGCAAACACAAAAGAAATCCATGAAGAATCTACGTAAGTCATCACATTCACTCTATAAATTGAATGAAACAATTATTGCATTTCTTTTTAGCAATGGGTACGGCATATATTATGAATCATACGAATATAGTTCAACAACAACAGCATGTCACCGTTCGACCTATTCAGCAAAAAGCTCAATATATTGTGCGACCCAGTGACCAATCCCATTCAATTGGATCAGGTAAGATCCGTTCGAACAAACAAAGATTACTACGTTCGTTCTTCTACTACTTTTTTCATTATAGGTCCATCATCACCCGACTACCAACATTCCCCGTCCAACAGTCATTGCAGCTCAAATCATAATCCACCATCGATTCAATCAAATTCTTTTCAAGGAACTGCTGTCTACGATAAAGTCTCCAATACAAATAATGCTAATGAACATTCCGACAGTCAACGTGCTCTTCTTCTCACTGCCAAACCGAATCTACGCAGTTTTACCGTTCCTGTTGCCCCACCAATTATTCCACCACCGACAGTTTCCGCTAAACAACAAGCAACTGTTTTACCGGCAAATGCTCAATGTAAGTATTTCTTTGCGTTCCTAATTGAAATTCTTACTTGTTTTCCAATGTTAGACAAATCGCCATTTCGTAGTCCAAATCGTCCGATATTGAATAATTATACAAAAGAAATTTCGTCTGATGAAATTGATGCCAATCCAGCTGATGTCCTCGAAGATGTACGCAATCAACTCGGCAATCTAATGAAGAAAGATTTTCAATGTTAGATTTACAACTCTCTCAGGAATTCGCTGATATAGTTTTTTTTTTTAAATATTGTCTCTGTGGTGCTAGATCTCAACTGTCTCTGTTCTTTTCTTGTTGGCTGACTTTCTTTTGTGCAAACATAATCATCTCATCTCTTGTCAGGCATTGTTTTATACATTGTACAACACTGATATGTATACATATAGTCATTTTGTGCGTGCGTGTGTGTGAATGTCGCTAATAATAATTACGTCTACAGATAGATAAGTCGGATGGTTTTTTTTATTTTAGACGTATAAAATCGTGTTGTTTTCTTTTTCAATTTCAGATTTCACTTCGATATGCCTCGATATGCGCAATTGGTCTTAGTAAGCTCGAATCGAGATGATCTTGATTGGATTTAAGCAAGATTGCGTTTATAGGGACCAGCCGGTTCAGGAAAATCGACCTATTGTAGTTCGATGGTGAAACACGGAGAAGTCGTTAAACGAACAATCAATGTTGTTAATCTTGATCCAGCAGCAGAACATTTCGACTATCCAGTGTTCGCTGGTAAATGCTAAAGCCAAACGTTTTACATTTCGAAAGATCGTGATTGATGTTTAGATGTACGAGAATTGATTGAAATTGATGACGCAATGGATGACCAAGCATTACGATTTGGTCCGAATGGTGGTCTTATTTTCTGTATGGAGTATGTTATTCGATCATTAACAGTGATGTTCATGAGAATTAATCTTTCCTAGATACTTTGAAAGAAATCTCGAATGGTTACAAGAACAGTTAGGCGATGGCGAGGATGATTACTTTCTATTTGATTGCCCCGGTTCGTTGATTCCTTTCAAAGTTATTCTGTTTTTTTTGAAAATCATGATTTTCAGGTCAAATTGAATTATATACTCATGTGCCTATCATGCGCCGTGTAGTAAACCAATTACAAAATTGGAACTTTCGTGTTTGTGGTGTATTTCTTGTCGATGCACAATTTTGTGTTGAACAGTCGAAATTTTTAAGTGGAATGTTAACAGCATTATCTTCAATGATTCAACTAGAAATTCCGTTTATTCATGTTTTATCGAAAGTTGATCTTCTTTCCAAACGCGATAAGAAACGTTTGAAAAAGTACGGAAAATCTCAATAAAAATTTTCTGATTTAAACTTTCTTTTGGTTTAGATTTGTCGATCCTGATGTATATCAACTAGCAAGCAGTGAAATATCGAATAGTTTTCTCGGAAGATACGGTCAACTAAACAAAGCCATAGCAAGTGTGATATACGATTACAGTCTAGTGAAGTTTTATACATTGGACATGAGTAAAGAAGATTCGATCACAGATCTGTTAGGAGAAATCGATTTATGTATGCAGTATGGCGAAGATTTTGATGTTAAAGAACCGAAAGAGGTGGAAAATAATGAATCGGAAGATTTTCATGATGATGAGTGATTCGACTTATTTTTGTTATTTGTTTTTTTTTGTACAAAGAAAATAAAGTAAAAGCAATCACGTTGTAACCGTAGAGACATTTTCCTATGACGTCATTCAATGGTGTAAAGAACGGAAAAGAAAAAATGTTATTGCACCATTGCAAATATAGTCACTTGATAAATGTTTCATCATACGCTCGTTTGTTTTTCTTTTTCAGATATGTCGTCAAAAGCGTGTAAATGCGGTGGAACTGAGATCGATATCGATCGTGCACGAGGTGTTAGCGTGTGTAAAAAATGTGCAGAAGTTATCGAAGATACATGCATTGTTAATGAAGCGGAATTAACGGAAACTAGTGGCGGTGGTATACAGGTTGTCGGACAATGGGTTTCGAACGATGATCTACGAGGATCGAGCGGTGGTGGTGGTATGATGGGCTTTAACGCTCGCGAATCTCGACAAATTACATTGCAAAAAGCTCGACGTGGTATTATGGATATTGCTGGTAGCATGCGAATGAATCAACATTGTGTTGAGGCCGCATTCAAAGTAAAATCAGATGTGATTTTCTGATTTTATCAGCTACCTATTTTTTTTTTGTTGACATCTAGATTTACAAAATGGCATTAGATCGTGGTCTCTCTCGAGGAAACAAAGCCAGTCATCTTCTTTCTGCATGCTTGTATATTATCTGTCGTACAGAAGGCACACAACATATTTTATTGGATTTTTGTGACCATGTCGATGCGGATATCAGTATTTTGGCACGTATCTACTTACGGTTAGCTCGAGAATTATGTATTAATGTACCGCATACCGACCCGTCACTTCTTATCCCACGGTACGCAGCCAAGCTGGATTTTGGTGATCGAACAAATGCTGTTTCTAATACTGCACTACGTATTGTTCAACGTATGAAACGTGATTGGTTGAATATTGGTCGACGTTCTTCAGGTCTTTGTGGCTCTGCTTTATTATTTGCTGCACGAATGCATAATTTCAATCGAACTATTCAACAAATTGTTGATGTTGTGAAAATTTCTAAAGCAACGATTATTCGCCGTTTACAAGAATTTGAAGTAACACCAACAGCACAACTGAATTTGCAAGAATTCGATACGATTGAACTTGAAGAAGAACAGGACCCACCGGCATTTTCAAAAGCAAAACGTATGACGAAACTTGCTCAACATGAAGAATCATTTAACATTGAACAAATCGAACGAGACATTCTCGATACACAACAACAAATTGATGAACAGTTGGAAAAATTACATAAACCACGTGGCCAGTTGGCTAAGTAAGAGCCTTTTTTAACTTAAATCCGTTCCATACTGAATGCGTTTTGTTCGCTATTAGGTATGCGAAATATATCGATATGGAGAAAAATGTTTTAAGTAACGAAGAGGATGAATTAATTCAAAAAGTATTAACAACGAAATCCAATAAACGAAAGAATACTGTCAAGTCCGATGATGACGATACTGAGAGTACGGCGGACTTATTAACAACTGAAACAGACACTCTACCCATCGATGAGAATGATATGAAATGGGCAGCTAATTACATCGAAGAGCAGCAAACCCAACTGATTCTCTCTTTATTGAATGACGGTGATAATAAATCAACAAACAATCACAGTGAACAGAACGAACTAGATCAAGAAGAAGAAGAAGAAGATTACAAGTGTCTTCGGCCATCTCTGGAAGCAATGGGCATTGTTCCAGTCAAATCATCATTGAATTATTCAGCAGACAATCCTCAAACAAGTACATCGAGTAGTGCAATCCGGCAGCACCACGTTGTACTAGATTTCCCTGAATGGCATCCATCGGTTGATTTAACCAATGATGAACTTGATTTAACCGGTATCGACGATAATGAAATTGAAGAAATGATTTTAACACGTGATGAAACGAAATTGAAGCTGAAATCATGGTTACGTGAAAATAAGGACTGGTTCTTAGAAGAGAAACGTCGTCAGCGTAATAAAGAAGCCGCTGAGCAAAAGAAAATAGGTTCAAGTACAATGACAGCTGCGCAACGACGCAAACGCAAGAAGAAAGCAGCGGCAACAACAAATGATTTAACTAAATCCGGTAGCGTTGCCGTCGGTACTCAGCATCAACTTGGTGGTTTTACGTTGACACCAGCTGGCTTAGCTGCAGCTGCGTTAGAAGCTGAAAAACATTCTCAAGATAATCGTCTATCCAGCAAAATTAACTATGATGTATTAAAGAAATTAACGATGAAGAAAGACACAACAGAACAAGTATCAACATCATCACCATTAACGACAAATACAAATGAAACAGAAAGAACTACATAAAAAATGATTTTCATTCTACCGACTATTTTTACATACCATTGTTACTCATTTCGTACTTCTAGACAATAATGATTTGTTTTTGTTTCATTTTCAAAAAATATCATTGTACAAAATATCTCAATCTTAACTCATCTGCCTTTTGCATAGTGAGAAATATTTTATCTGATATGACACAAGAGAAAAGATTGCATCACAAAGCCACAATGGTCTTTTTCTCCTGATGACTCATGAAGAAAAACAATCGTTTTGTTTTCCTTCCTTTTGTCTATTATGAAATATTTCATAGATTTCGCACGATACATGTCACATTTCGACATTCCCCCTCACGGATTTCAGCGACTATAAGAGGAGACAGATATCATCGATGAGAGCACATTTCACTAAGTCGTCTTCGTTATGGTTTGTTTTGTGCATCACCAACACTTCTCCAACAAATTTCATACTGCTGTCAATCAACTGCGACATTTGAAAGAATTTTCTCATCAGACATTACAAAACCTTCCTAAACATTGTTGTTCATGCTATAGGAAACAAAATGATGTTTTATCTTCGATAACAAAACGCTCTTCAACAAGAACAACGATTTTTGATGCTTTACGTCTGATATGTCTTCAATGTGAATTGGAACAATACATTTCGCTTGAAATGTCACTTGCTCCATTCAAAACCAAGCATTTTCTACGATTACCTTTCCCAACGTTACTCGATTCACAAGAAGAAACAAGATTATCCAATGAATTTATCGCCCGGCAAGACAATATTCAAGATTTAATTCAACACATGCAAAACGCTCACTTTGAATTCATTACACCAACAACATCCAAAACACTGTTATGCGATCTTACTCAAATGCGATACTTTCTAGTGTCAAGATGCTCGACATATACTGAAGCAATTCAAGCCATCTATGGTCTTTGGGTGATGATTTCCGTTGAAGATCCGTCACATTTCGAAATCATCAAGCATATTCTCGAACAACAGTGGATGAAATTTCTTGAAAACAGTAAATGGATATCTTCGCACAGAACGTTCAATTGGCGACAAGATCTTCCTCGAAAAATCATGTTTAAGAAAACCGAGAATGTTCGACAATACGACTGTGAATACGAAGCAGATGAAGATGATGCTAAAGAAAACAGTATTGATGATGAAATATCAATGTCAACACATCCATCGTTAACATTTCGTCCTATTCGGTTCAAAAATTCGGATTCATCACGTATTCGCCGACGACAACATCTTTTATTTTCAGCTACCAATATTTAACTTCTAATATCAGATGGAATTTTGTACAGTTTTATCATTATTTACCGTCAATCATAAAATAACTTTCGACCAGTACAAGTTTTTGGTGTAATATAAGCGTTAGAGTAATATTTTAGGGCAGCGTATGGAAACTTTGGTGTTTTTTGTATAATTGTAATTGAGTACACTATAGAAGTATGTCTAACAGAATGAGAATTTGTAAAACTTTTCAATGTTTGAAATAAACGCTAATTATGTTTTGCTATCAAAAACAAAATGAGCACTTTGCTTTTTTTCAGTTAATTTAAAAAGATAATTCTGGTACCAGCTTATAATAACATCTGTTCAGCACTACATCTCATAATGCCTTTCATTAATGGTGTGGTCATTATTGTGTGACTAATTTTATACTTGGTATTGTATGCTATTCTTCAGCTAAAACTGTGAATACTTTGTTTTTCGAGATTATCAGCAAATTCAATAAGTTTTGTGTCGCATTCCATGACGTCCATTTGATTCTCCACGGATTGACGCAGTTTTTGCGAACAACTGTGTCACTTTATTTCTTTGTATATAAATTTGTATCATTGGAGGGAAAGTGTCTCTTTTCACAATGTACCAGGATCCATTAGGATGATATTTAACCGTTCCGGCCAGCACGTTTCTATTGCAACAGAATTTTTTATCTCTAATTGGAAATATATTTCTTATGTCTTACAAAACCATCAGATTTTAATTAAAATCACGTCTCCTCATATTTGAAGGTGCACTGAAACCGATACGACTAGTTATATCGTCTAATTTTGGGTAGTTTTGTAGTTTGATCGTAACCAAAGACAATGCGATAAAACAACATTATTAGTTATGCTTGAATCGGTGATAATGAACTTTAAAGAGTTTCGTAGAAAATGTTCTAAATTTTCATAAGTAAATCTTTTTCAATGAAAATCAGTAATCTGAACAGTTTTTCTAACAGACGGGTATAAAAAATAGTAGAAATAAGTGTGTCAAGCGAAAAACCGATTTTCATGGACAATCTATTAGCGAACTGAAGAGAAGATAGTCAGTGGCTTTAACAACGCAAACAGCTACATGGGAATAAAGTAAAATGTAACTCAGAGAGAGAGAGAGAGAGAGAGAGAGAAGGACAAATTTCTATATATACTTGAACAATTGAAATAAAACGGGATAAATTATACAGGTAATTGTTAGGAGATATTGAATCGATCAATCGAAAAATCACAATATTTTGTATAGTGTTGCAGTGTATAATCACTTCCATAAGTCAAATAATGATAAACGAATTCTGTCGGCGTGTGGATGCAATTACAACGTTGAAGATAAATCCAAATAGGAGAACTAAGTTTGAAGAGTATTGCCGAAAACCAAATGGCCAAAAAATACTGGCAGTGCGCCAATCTTAAAGACACTTCCGTGTATATCTCTTATCGTTTCACAATATACAAAGCATTTTAGATTCGTATAATTTTACCAGAGCCAAATCTGTTTTAGCGTGAATGTGAGAAAGCTGAACTTAATTGTGACTGATACCTTTTTATCGATACATAAATGGTACTCGTAGTTTAAAATTTGATTCCGACTCGAAACTTCTGAATGTGAAAGTAAAATGAATAATTTTGAACTTGAATTATAACACCAAGTTCAAAGCATGACATGTTTTGACTATAGACTTTAGTTTTAAGGTAAAATTCAAGTATGACCTGTTGTTTCAAAGCAGTATCTTTAACTTTCAGAAGTGCACCCAAGACTGGGATTTCTATCCGAGTTTTGCTCATTTTCTTTTGATGTATTCAGTTGATTTTTTGTATACACGACCTTGAAACACTTGATTGCATTGTTCGCAGTCTTTTTGATACAAATAAATGTTCCCGACATAGCCTTTCTACACTTGCCGACATTATTTTCCATCGCCGAGCAAATCAGCAAGTGTATTCAGTGAAAACGTAAACAGAATACTTCTTTTGTATCGTTTCAATCAATCTTTGCACTCGACTTCAAAACGTCCACTCGTCACAAAAGCATTTCTAATCAACTTTTGTTTTTCTTTGTTGCCGATCGACTAATTCATTCTATTAACAAATAAATGTGTCTGGACAGTTCATTGTAAACAAATTGAATTTTCTCTCTTTTTTCCCAAGAGGAAAATTTTTCTGTTTGTCTGTCTAAAACCAATGACTAGTCAATTAAAACTGACACACGTTCAATTATATCGTTGATCTGTATCGTCCTTCCTCCTCCTTCTTCTTACAATAATAAACATACAGTTGAGTCTCAAGGGAGAAATGAGAAACGAATTTATATTGCACGATTGAAAAACAAAACTGTACAACATAGAAAATGAAGAGAAATTTGTTAGAGTATTTCGTCTTCAAATGATCGACTCATTTTGACGTATGTTGACGAAGACGAACTGGACAACGATGATGACTTATTTGCAGATAATCGATCAGTAAATGTTGTTAAACGAGTCGAATCATTTGTTGTTGTTGTTGATGATGTCGATACTGTTGTCATTGCGGTAAATTGTGGTGACGGGGAGGATAATAATAATGTGTCATTTTCCGCTTCATCGTTCAGTGATGAAGAAAATGATGGTGTCAAATGTGTCGTTGGTTTAGTATTTAAAGATTCGGTTCGTTCGCGTCGTTGTCGATAATAAAAACAGCAGCAAATTATAAATATAATGACAAGAAAACTTGCTAAACTAATCAGAATGATTGAAATTAAATAAATATATGTTTGAGGATGTATCTCTACGGATGATTTTAACGAATAATTTCGACATTCTGCTTCTTCATAAACAATAAAAACAAGAAAGTCTTTATAGATTGTCGTCAAATTTCTTGGTTGACCTTGATCGGTTAGGTCCAGATCGAATCTGTATTCTTGAAAGATTCCATCGAGAATTAAAAGACCATTTGGAAGAATTCGAACGTCTGAGGACGACGGATTTTTTAATGAAAAGACATTTTCTCCGTTGCGACCATCATCTGGATCATAGCCTTCTAATTGAATTTCGATTGTTTGATTACTATTTGTCAAATTATAAATATAACAGTAAGGCGATTGTGTTTGTAGTTGTGGTTTATTATCATTTTGATCAAGAATATCAATACGTACGGCGAGAACATCAGTATGAACGGAATCATTAGCAACAATACGAAAATGTAGCTGAGGGAGCATTTCCCGATCGAAGCTTCGTTTTGTAAATAAGAATCCAGTGGTTTTCAATTGGATCGAATGTTTTATTGAAGGAAGATCATCTGGATGGATGGAATAAACTATCTGATCATTTTTATCTTCATCTTCAGCTTGAATTTGTCCGATAAAAGTGTGATTCGCTTGATTTTCTTCGATTTGAAATCGCGTCAAATTCGCGGGGAATTTAACCGGATTATCATTGACATCATGGACATGAATGAAAACAGGAACGGATGTCTGATGTCCAACTTTATCTTCTGCTTGAATTGCAAATTGATAGACGGATTGTTTTTCATAATCGAGACTTTGCAAAACAATCAATTGATTTCGTTCGTTTAATTTAAACAGATGTTTATAATCATGTAGTGGATCAAATTGAAGTTGAAGTGTAATTTGATCATGTTCATCGGGATCATCGACTTGGATTGTCTGAAGGAGGAAATTGTCTTGATTATTTTCATTCAGATCAAATGTAAAATTGCTCGAATTAACAAAGTGCGGTGAACAATCGTTCACATCGATTAAATGTAATTCAAACTGATTTTCACTTGTTTGCTTCGGTTGGCCATGATCAGATGCGAATAATGTGAATGAATAGAGTGATTTCTCTTCGCGGTCAAGTTCACGCGTGGTTTTTAAAGCATAGGTATTATCAGTCACTTTTTCTAATTGTAAAATAGAAGTTTCATCAACGATTTCGACGGTGACACGTCCATTTTCACCTGCATCACGATCGGACACAGTTAGATAGAGAATTGGAGTGCCAAGAGAGACGTTTTCTAAGATGTAAATGATGGAATTATTGATTAACTGAACATCAGCTGGTGAGAAGGTAAACATTTCCGGCGACCAATCATTCTCATCGATGACCTAAACAGAAAAGAGAAGCTCCTTTGTTCACATTCATTGGCATTCCTACCTCGACAATGACTGTTGCATAAGTTGGAACAGCATTTGGTCCTAAATCTTTGGCTTGGATTTGTAATTCATAGTTGTTTCTTTCTTCATAGTCCAAATTATGAACGAGAGTAATTGAACCATTTTCTGAGTTCAGATGAAAAATTTTATTGATTGTTGCGTCATTGCGTGTCCATTTCGAGAACGTGTATCGAATTTGCCCGTTGAGACCTTCATCTGGATCGAACGCTTTCATCTGAATAATTTCCGTACCGACTGATGTCAACTCCGAAATCTTCAAAATCACAGGTGATTGCTGATTGGCTTGAAACTTTGGTGAATTATCATTAATATCCGTAACGGTTAAAAGAATCTTTGTGCAACACGAGCGTTTCTCGTTATCAGGGCCTTCATAAGCACAAAAATGAAAAAAGTACTTCTCTTGGGATTCTCTATCTAACGGTTGAACGATGATTATCGATGGACGAATTTGATTATCGAGACGAAATTCTGAGTAATTATTCGATTGAATTGAATACGATTGAACATTATTGGGTGTTTGATCAGGATCATGTGCAATTGGTAAAATGATTCGACTATTCAAACGGACGCTTTCGCTGATATTCAGATAATAAATATCATTGGAAAAATAGCAGAAATTATCGTTTTCATCGAGAATTAATATTGGAAGATAAATAATATGTGTGTAAACATCACTGAGAGCATTGATTTCAAGTTTGAGTAAACAATCCGACGAACACGAACATAAATTTAAACGACAAAGATCTTCTCGATCAAGTGGTCGTTTAACGGTTATCGTACCTTTCAGATCATCTAAGAGAAAGTACGATATCACCGATGTTCGAGTTAAAAACGTGAAACCCCAATTGGATGATGGAAGAATACTTAATAATTGAGTTATGGGCGTACCGATTGGAGATAATTCACTGCAATTAACAGATGGTAGACGGATATAACTTGATTGAGAATGAGTAATAAAAATCAAAAATTGATAGACTATTAACCATAGCCACGAGCAGGACATAGCAGCATGGTGATTACATCAATTTATAGAAATAAAACATANCATCTCGTCTAATTAACGATCACGAAATAAGCATGCAAAAAAAAAGAGACAGGACAACTCGCTATATACAAACATACAATCTATCTATCGTTGTATGACCGAAGGACATCGTACAGACATCATTTTGTTAAATTGTGTCACACCTATTCTTTATCTTCTACACATGAACATTTCTTTCTCTTAATATTTCATCATCTAGTAGAAAATGACGATGAAAAAAAAAAACTATGATTATTACCATTGATTGTACTCTTGTATAATTTTGAAGATGACATCATCGTCTTTCTCTCTCTCTCCCGGCTTGCGTTTTTATATAACTTTACTGGACACATAATAATAGTCGAAGACTAATATATAAATAGAGAATAACTCGCATGGTTTCCGATATTTCTCATATTTTCCGGTAGATGACCTTCTAGAACTAATATACCATTTGTACTTACAAAGAATTTTCGACAAACGGTCAAGGTGATTGTACGCAAAAAGAATTTCATCAATCATACGCAAAGACAATTCGCGCAGAAGAAGATTCTTTTTCTTTTTATCCAAGTAATGGATTTGCAGCGAAGTGTCTAAAATGAAAATGACAAAGACGATTTGGGTTTGAAAATATCTCGCGATTTCTTTTTTGTCTTCAATATTTTTGCTCAACGAAGTAAAAAATAATTTCCGGTTGGTCAGGTAAACTAAACAAATTCAAGGAATCGGTCTGGTTACAGAATGTAATTTTATATAAAGAATAAAATTTCTTCTCTTTTACACCGGAGAACAGCAGAACAACGAGTAGAGAACGGCAGAGAGGAGATGTCTCTATCTGCATACTAAATATTAATACGCTTTACATTTTGTTACGCATAATCGGGTTAAAAAATGTTAATCTCATATGGATTCATCATCGAACATACCGGGAAATGAAAGAAATCAGCTAACCTGCGACAAATATGTGTATTGGTTGGAGTGTCGGTGAGATTCATGGAAATTGAAGTAATATTGACTAAGGAAAAGTGTGAAAGAATATTTACTCTCGACCTTGGAACATAGTGTAAATGTGTTCAGCGATTATTTTTGTGTGAAAATCAGAGAAATTATTTCCGACATGCATATCGCGTAAATGTATGCTTTTTCTTCCCCTTAATAAATGCATTAGAAGGAGAATTCATCGATCTGTCATATGAATGCTTGTTTAGGATCCGAAATAGACGAGAAAAAAAAACGAGATCATCATTGACGTTTTTATCAAGAATTGATTTGAAAATTGATTCGATGAGAAAAATATAACAAAGTGTTTTTAGTAAGAATTTCATGATTAGAGATGGTTAATCACTGAAATTAGTCAATCATCTGACATTTACATGATAAAAGCACTAATAATTCTAACCTTTGACAATTCCGTGTTCTAATCTTCGATCAATCATCTAATAAAACACGTCATATAATCGAAAACATTTATGTACAGAAAACGCCAATTGTCTTTTTCCCTTCGGACATTCATTTTTTATATTATAAACGTATTTCTTCATCTGCGCAGAAAAACTTCAAACATATAATAAGCTTCCTCATGATTGATGACCTATATTTGACAAAATGTCTGATTGTACATAAAAAACGGTGAAATATTATTGATTTTTTGAGGAATTGACTAGGTTATTTATCCACCGATAAATCAACTGTTAACTGGCGACGTCTTGCGATTTATTTTCATTAATCAATAAAGAACGTATAAGTAAATCTGTTATATGTTCCATAAGATATTTTTCTACTCATATTTCATCACATTTTTGTCAACCAAACAAGTCATTCATCAAGGTAAAAATGACCTGATATTCAATTATGATTAATATTTTCCGTTTTGCTTTGTTGAAAGTATGCGCTTTAATGATATATATATATATATTTCAGTATATGCAGAGAGAAAGACACATTATAAGACGAGAAAAAAAAATAAAATTAAAATTTCATTTAAAATACAATAAATATCGCGTAAATGTTTATATGCACATTCTTTACAATAAAAATTTGTTTGTTAAATACATTAACAACAAAGAAAGAGAGAGAGAAATACTTGATCACAATAGTTATTCATGTTCGTTTGTTTCGATAAATGAATTATTCATTCGAAAGTAAATAATTGGTACCTTTCTTCAACGAATTTCGTTTGCCGAGATGTAAGGAGCGTCTTAATGTATCAAATCGTTGGGCAAAAGTTTGCTTTTTATGCGGAGCGTCATCTTGATCGTCATGGTGCTGATGATCAAGATCGTCGTCGAGACAATTTACAATTTGTTGTTGTTTTGCATGACGTTTTTTAAACAGAAGGGATATTTGCGCACGAAACGACCGATTAAATTTAGTTTTCTTTGTCTGCGAATCATTTGGAGATGAAATATAGCCAGATTCTTGTTGATCAGTTATGTTAAGTGTAGAACACTCAGGATTGGGCACTGATTTCCTAGAAGAAGGAGAAAAAAAAACGAGTGTTTGAAGAATGATTGATGATTAGTCATACGATTGATTCATATGCGTTGGTGCTAATGGAGCTTTTCGTCGTTTTGGAGGAAGTTTGGTGTTATCTGATGTATCGGTCGTTTTTTCTACTGGTAAAGTAATTGGTGATGTCAAACCTGTTGAGATTGGCGAGATAAGTGGATTGACTGGATGATTTTCATCGTTGCTTTTGAATATCAATCGTTTATTTGAATTGTTACTTTCCAGTCGTGAACGTTGTCGTGTTAAAGTATTTCGAAATGATTTTCGAATTTGATCAGTTAGTTTGTCAAACGGTCGAAGACGAGGATTGGAATTTGCTGAAGTTGAAAATGGGTCATCATCATCGTCCTCGTCATTGATATGGTTATTATACGGATGTTCACTGGTTTTGGTTTTGTTTCGATTTGGCGATGATGAACGCGGTGGTGAGGATGAATAGCGACGTCGTCGTAAGAAACTTTTCGATTGTTTGGATTTCACCAGATGCGAATTCGAACTTGTGACTGGATGGTCATTTCGCGGATTAATTTGATCATCATCACCAGCAATATCCTTGCGTCGACGAGAATTAAATGATTTTCGTAGGCTATATTTCATTCTTAAATAAAAAAGAGAATAGTAGATACACTCAATCATATAATTTCGTTAATCATTCAACCGTTTGACTGGACTAAGTAACCTTGAACACTCGCTTCTCTTGGTATATGTTATGTATAAGCAGAAAAAGAAGAAAACGGTATGAGACAGAAAAACATGACAATCAGAATGTGAAGAGAAAAAGCGAGTTTTAGCAAGGCCACCTATATTTTTTTTCTTTTTTTTTTCTCGCTCGGTTTTGTAGTCATATTAAATGAAAAAGAAAAGGTATGCCTGTGTATATACTTATTAGAAATTAGATTCTAAGTAGGAGAAAACGTGTGAGAGAGGATGCTGTTGCAAGAACAGCAGTAACTGGAAAAATATATGTGATGTATGCACCCGAAGTAGTAATTTAGATAACAATAAAAAGAAACCAAAGCAAAAGAGAAAAAAAGAAGAAGAAGAAGAAGAAGAAAGCGTAGGAGAATCAACGAGGATTGAAGAACGTAAACAGAAAAGAAGAACGAAGAAAGATCTTGTATGAAAACACTAAGAACGGGAACTCGTTATTTCTTTATTATAAGAGTAACAGCGACGCAACATGTCATGATTGTCGCATCTTAGAATGAACGTTTCTTTTCTCATAGAGTCTTCACTCGAGCATAAGAGGGAAGGATCAATGAAGCAAATGAATATGAATGAAGAAAGAAAAATAGGAAAAGGAAAAAAAAAAGAGGCGTGAGTAAAAGTCTCTTTCCAATAGATTCAGAGAAAAATGGCGTGATGCATACTGAAAAGGTATCTTTATTTCAACTTATGCTCTTGCTGACATGTGTGTGGGGGGAAGAAAAAGAGAGAGAGAGAGAGAGAGAGAGAGAGAGAGAGAGAGAGAGAGAAATCAAATCATCGGAAAGAAAATATGTGTAAAATACCGTCTACTTAACAAGAAGTGCTCGTTAAGCACGTCTTTTTACTAGAAACAGACAAGCATCACAAACGAATGAAGAAAATCGTAATAGTAAACGATTTTTCTTCATATTAACAAGTCAGAAGAAGCACGATGTACATGCAAACGTAACCTTTTCTTCTTCGATTCTTCAGTCATCTGTTATTCGTCGGCTACATCATCCTATCGATCAGATGGAAATGACAGTTGTCCTTGTTTTGCTTTTCTCTCGTTCGCCTTATTCGGAAAGAAAGAAAAGAAGAGAAAATGCGTTCGTTAGTTACTTATTTACATATCTATCGATACTTAGTTGTTTTCAATAAATATTTTCGTTTTATTTACACTGATTCGGTATATTGAAGAATAGAAATGAATGACTACAACGAAGCTGATTTGATATCACATGACGTTAATATCTGAAAATAGAATTGCCGAGAAATATTGAAGATATTAATGAGAATTGTTAAAAAAAATATTTCTTTTCATAGAAACACGTAAGTTTTTTTCTCTCTTTCTGCTTTTTTTTCTGCATGAAATTCAGGATGGCAGGAATAGTAATTGAATGAACGAGTTCCGGGAGCAATACTTCCATCTGACAATGTTTTAGGTTAAAGCTTCGAACAAAAAAGACTTTCAACTTACTTGAAAATATTAATCTCATAAAATTCCATCGAAATGGTTTTATTTGATCCGAAATGAAGATACACTATCACAAAGGACTGAACAAATGCGTTACTTATAAATAAGTCAATAGAGAAGAGCTGAAAGAATGATGTTCGAAATTAATCTTTGGGTCGGAGAAGAATAATTCATGAAGGAATCGATTCTCTTGAGTGCAATGAAACACTCTATGTTAACAATTTCTGTGTATTGCTTTAGACCAGCGATATTCTCAAACGTTTTTCCGAGCTCATGGCGGCAATAAATACTACTTCAGCTTCTATTCCACATTGGGCATTGAACGGCACTATTTATGGTTCGAATGATTCTTTTCTTTTATTGAATATTTTTCCAGCAGATGTAGCTGATGATCTCTTCTATAAACTACGTGATGAAATAGCTTGGAATGAGATGAGACAGAAAGGTGGTCGAGTGCCACGTGACATATCTATCCAAGGGACGATTGAAGTTAAGGATGGTGATGAATATGAGCCACTCTATCGTCATCCTGCCGATGAACAGCCTGAATTGATAATGTGGACACCAACAGCATTGATTATTAAAGAACGAATTGAAGAATTAATCGAACAAAAACTAAATCATGCATTGATACAGTATTATCGAAATGGAAAAGACTTCATTGGCGAACATTCAGATAAAACTTTAGATGTCTTACTTCATTCGAATATTGTAAATTACAGTTTAGGTGCTGCTCGAACCATGATACTTAAACATAAAACTCAAGCGGGTGTTAAGCAACGGTTCAAACTTCCGCACAATTCTCTATTTATCTTAGGCTGGAAAACCAATCGGGAATGGCTTCATTCCATTAAACAAGACAATCGTGCTGACATGGATAAAGACGCTGATGAATTGGCATTTTCCAGTCAACGAATATCGTTGACTCTACGTTCAATTGCAACATTTCGTAATCGTCGAACGGGAGAATTGCATGGTCAAGGTGCACGAAATAAAACCTTAGAAGAAATCAATCGAGATCAAACTATGGATACAAACGATGAACAAAATATGTTAATGGCATTTAGTGCTGAAAATAAACAATCTTCGGAATTCGATTGGGATCAGCAATATGGCGAAGGTTTCAATGCATTAAATTTTAAAGTTTTGAACTCTATTTTGATAGATGAGGAAGAAAAAACAAATGACATAAAAGCTTAATGAAAATTCCCATTAAACAACCCGAAATAAAAAGAAAGAAAAAAAAACGAAACCAAACAGAATAAAACTTGTCTTTTTCTTCGTAAAATTTTCGTCCATTTACGAATTGTGACTAACCGACGTTGCACTTGTTGTTGCTGCTGTTGTCGTTGTCGGAACACTTGTCGGGTGATTATCATCAAATGCATCAAGTGTATTTCGTTTAAATTCTTGTAATGTACTACTTAACTTATTAAAATCATCTTGTTTGGGATTGGTAAGAAATTCATTGACATCATACAAACGTAATTTACCTTGATCGTCACCTAAGATGATCTGTTGGCCATTATGTGACCATAGACATTTGTTTAACGCGACATTACCATCTAATGTTGTACTTAGTAAGGGTAATTCGGAATCATGGTTTAAATTCCAAATGTCGAAACGACCAGTTATATCACATGTTAAGAATACACTCGGATGAACTGGTGACCAGCGTACATCAGTGACGTAATCGCTGTTGACTTCGAATGAGTTGAGCGGTTTAGATTCTTTCAGCGACCATAATTTTACACTCCAATCAAATGAAGATGTCAAGAACAGGGAAGAGAAATCAACAGAGCCATTGACATTGTGACAGCTAAGACCTATAAAAGAGGGAAAGATAGAGAATTGTTTTCCGAAACAACTGACAAACCTGTAATTGGACCGAAATGTCCTTCGTAACTATCTTGAATTCCGGCTTTATTTCCATGTCTTGAACCGGAATAAGCTTGACCTTCTTCACTACCAATGACAAAGTTATTCACTTCGACACCAGGAAACACCATTCGTGTTGCTGCAACAGGTTTTGTTCGGTATGCTAAATCCATACTCTCTTGTGGTTGAGTCATCATTTCAATATTCCACGAACACATTTTGCCTTCGTTGGATATCGAGATTAAGTTATTTGCATTTTGTGTACCAATTACTTGCAAACAATACACCGGATGAGTATGAGACGATGCTGAGAGAGCAGTTCGTTGCACAGGCGTGCGTTTGTTCGTACGAGTATCCCAAACAACGATTTGACCACTATAAGTACCACCTAAGAGAATGTTTGGATGAAACTTACTGAAAACACAAGATGTCACCCATGACTGACAGTTGAACACATACTAAAATTAGAATTATCAGACAATTCTTCGTTATGAACACAATTTGCTTACTTCAGGAGTTGGTTTTGATTTGAATTTTGTATTCCAAATAAGTACAACACCATCGGATTCGTGTGTTGACTCATCATTTTGTGAATATGATGCCAGAACTAATTCTGGATGATAAGTTGATGTATCAATACAAGTGACAATACGATGGCGTGTCCATCGTTCATCGAAAAACTCTCGATCGAATTTAATGATTTCTCCAACATCCATTTTTTCATTTTGTTCGTCTGATTCTCTTCCGCTATAATCTTTGAATAAATCAAATGCTTGTGGACTCTCCCACAATGATCGTTCGATAATACGAGCTGAGCGCGAAAAGAAATCTTGAAATTGTTCGCTTTTTTGAATTTGTTCACGTTCTTCATTAGTTAATTCTTGTTTAACCAATGACGATTGACCTTGTAAACTAAATTGTTTATTTTGTTGTTTTAATGATCGAGTTCGTTCCAATTTTGCCACTGACGCTAATGACATACCAATCGATGGTTTAGTATTTTCATCAAAACTCATCGTATCTTCATCACTAACATAAACAAGTTGATTACGTTCACCAGCCGTTGGTTGGGGAAATTCATCATCCCATTGTAAATGCTCGTGTTGAATGGGACTTGCAGCAGGATCTTTATCACCTGATTCGATAGTTTGAACTTCTTTCGAATATGTTACTAATTCCTTAGGAGGAACACTGATCGTTGCAGTGGGCTGTTGACATATTTGTAAGGCGATGCTACTGGGAGGTCGCCGCTTTTGTTGCGATGATGACGCCGATGCGGATGCTCCTCCGGCTGATCCTGGTGAGACAGAAGGTGATGTAGCTGGAAGTGATGCTGTTTGAAGAATTCCAACTTCTTTAAGAATTTTATCTGGATCCGCATCCTCTCGTGTTGTCGTTAATGTCATTGCTGGTATCGAAGCGAAACCCGGGGTCATAGGTGTTGTTGGAGTGTTCTTGAGCATCTTTTCTTGTCGCATCTTCTCCAATTTCGCTCGTTTTTCTTCGAGCTCACGTTTACGTTGATCAGTCGACATTTTTGCTTCTTGATGTCTTCAAGGTCACGACGAAAAAACACAAAAATGAAATAGACAAATCTGCAAGGAAGAAGAACGGCAACATATGGTTCGACTATAAAATCATTATATATTTTTATTCAATAGAATCTGTGAGCATACAGAGAGTGAGCAAAACATCATCTGACTAAAGGTGTGTGTGTGTTGAAAAAAGTGCGAAACATTCTAAATAACAAATCCAAACTGATATTGAGCATTGAAGAGAAGTCATTCGAGAGAACAAAACCGGAAGAAAGAGTTTGAGATTGAGTAAATAAAAAGTAAACGAGAAATGCGCTAAGTCGACAAATGTCATAAAGCTGACAATAAAAACCAACTATTAGTATTGCCAATAAAAATACCGTTCGAGCAAAAGACAAAAAAATCTATCTGACTACTAGATTTAAAAATAAAAATTGAAGATAAAAATGAATACATGCACTGTTATTAAAGAAGAGATTAGAAAAACAATGAATTTTGATTACTTCACTGATTGATTGATAGATTCTACATCTACTAAAGGTTCATTCATTTTCGATGAATATTCATCGTCATCATATTCGACTGGAAAACGTGCTTCTTCTTCGATGTCTGATTGATTTCCAAGATTGTTGTGAACTAAGTCATCATCTTCTTCATCTTCATCGATGTCTGGGTTATCAGCAGATGGCACTTCGGGTATTGAGTGTATCAACGGAATCGTTGTTTGTTGAGATAAGAAATTGTCTTCATTGAATGAATTCGTTGTTGATGAGGGATAGAAAGTTTGTTGACGATGGGCTTGTCGTAGAAGGATCCGTTGGTGTTCATCACTAGAGCTATTCGTTGTGGTGCCATCGAGTGGAAGTGCTGTCGGCTTCTTTTTTATTGGTGGAGCTTTCGTTCGTTGAAAAAAACCAAGCTAAAACAAACGCATTCATAGAACAGTTGACAGAGAACTGGTTGGAATGAATAGAATAGTAACACGGCAAAACACAACGAACAATTATACCCGCGTGAAAAAATTCAAAGAAGAGGAGACGAGGGTGGTCGTCTACGGTTAAAAAAGCCGATCTAGAGTTGAGAAGAGAAAATATTCGTAGGAGATATTTGAGGCAAAGTGAAAGAAAATTTGTGAAATTATGACAAAAGACAAACTTACTAGACAGCAAACAATGACGATAAAGACGAGAAGGATAAGACCAGCCATAGCTCCGACTAGCGGTACCCAAAGTGGTAATCGTGGTACAATGATTTTATCCGATCGATTCGCAAACTCAACCGGTGTTGTTGCCTAAACACAAAAAAAGTTCCAATTACAAATTATGGTCGCCGCAAGTTCATTTACAGTAGCATTGTCATTGTCCGTTGATGTTTGATGTATAAGTACATCATTAATATGTATTGATGCAAATGATTGAATGTCAATTCGATCATATTTATCGATATATTCTTCGATTAATGTACTGTTCCATAATCGAGCACGAAGTTTAATGAAATAATAGTTTTGTGCCGAAAGACTATTGATATGACAGTAGATTGGATAACAACGAACGTTTTGATAGTTTGGATCGCAGGACAACGTTAACGAACGCATAATGGATGAGATAGGTGATGTGATGATTGTCGCTAATGAAGCTTTGGAGTCTATTCCGTTTTCTGAATTTTGTTCATCACGACGTTTTCGATTAGTAATTGACGTTCGATTAAGTGAATCAAGTATATGAATATGATCACGCCATTGTGCCAAACGTTCGCAATGTCCATCGATTTTCGTTCCGCTACTCGATAAACTTGAAGAGACTTCAAGAATGGGCTCGTCAACGAGATAAAGTAGAAGTTTTCCATGTTCCCACTGTTCATCTAATGTTTCATATGGCCAATAGATAGTTACATTATGCGAACGAACACTATTTGGACCACTGTTTATGATCTAAAGAAGCAAATTTCGTTCGAAAAGTGTCGAATTTGATAATGATGAAATTATTTACTGTGTAAACATGTGTTACTTCCATTCCAAATTGTTCAATAGTTTTCACTGAACTTAATCCGAGTGTTCCATCGCCCGTCAAGGAAATTTGCTCTGGTTCATGTCCTGCACGTAGACTTAAGTCAGTTTTCAACAAAACTTTGGCTGTTAATGCCACATTATTATTTTCCAAATTCGTTTCATTTGTTAATGTTGTCGAATGAAAATCAAAACGTAAAATATTACTCAATGAAACATTTGATAATGTAAAAATAAGTTCAATAATCGAAATCTTTTCTGGTGGAAATGGTCTATTGAAGAAATCGGTCATTTTACATCGAACGTGATTGCCAAGTATCGGTTGGCACGAATAACTTTTATCTTCCTAGAGTCAGAAGAGAGAAAGTTAGTTATTATCTCGACACTTCCGAAAAAAGAAGAATACGAACCATAATAGCTTGTGAAAACTGTACGAAGAATGCTGGGAAGTATACATCAATTTTCGTTCCAAATGCTGGATCTGCTTGTCGACGGTTGGGTTCGGCTGGTACATTGGCCAGAACAAGTCGAATGCGAATTTCTGAATCAAAGCCAAGTACAGGAAGATTCGATGTTCTAAAAGCAATGAAATGGGTTTGAAATGCATCGATTTAGATAGAAGATAGACGTGGGTGATTTGAGAAGCATTAGGCGTGAGATCTTACGAGTCATGGTGAGAAATGATACTTTTAAAAGATGAACAAATCACAGATAGTTGTTTTTCTTCCTCTTTTGATTATCAAATCTTACTTTTGTCCATTGACGAATTCTGCAGTTAATTGAAGATCAGTTATACATTGATCATTATTGCCACATCCTTTATAGAAATTCGCCTAAATTGCCAAGAAAATTCATTGGATTTCTGTAAATCGAGCTAACAGTTAATTCTCACTTGAAATTTTTTCGTTCGTTCATCTTCAGTTCCATTAATCATCGGAAGAGCAACATCAGCAAGAAATGTTTTTGATCGAAGTTCATTTCGATCTTGTGAAACATTATAAACCAATGAGAAATGAATTGGCGTTAAGAAATCATCATTTCCACTCTAAAATTTCAAAATTATTCAATTATCACATCGATCGCGTTTCATATTACAACACTCAATTAACAACACACACACGTCTTCGAACTAGTTCATATCCTTGAATTGTTTGCGAAAAGAGATCGAATTTCTACGCGATTCGATACTGTCAAATTTAATTAATTCAAACGAACATGAAGACGAATGATCTATTTGAACAAACCTTTGCAAAAAATGTTTGATTTTCACATGTATTCACAAGTTGCTTGGTTGTTACACTTGGTAAATGATTGATATTCGATAGGATTCGACCAATTGTGAACAAAGTATCTGCAGTTAATGTGTAAATAATCATTAAATTTTGTGCTAGTTTATCTTTGGATTCCACGCATATCTGAACGCTAAAACTAAAAGGAAAAAAAATGAAAGAAGATTGTTGAAACTAAAACGGTAAGCAACTCACCAAACAACTGGTGTTCCATCGATCGATTTACAATGGCGATCTTCAGTACTATAGCGAATCGCTTGCAGTTCTTTCATATTCTCAATTTGAACATTCACATTGACTAATGGATGAGATCTAGAGAAGAAAAGCGATGAAATTTGGGAAGATGTGGTCATTCGTATATGAACCTTAAATTATAAACCATATTGGCTTTCGGAACACCAATAATCAATGAAGGATATTCGATCAATATGGTCGAATTGGAAGATGTGGATAATGAAGATGAGAACGAAAGTGGAGAATTGAATGGAGATTGCGTGGATAACGAAAACCCAAAATCACTGATATTGACTGTTTGTTTAGTATTCAATAATAATTGACTTGGAACAATTTTTTGTGTGAATTTCATCAGTTTATTTGTTCGAGAACCGAGATAGATATAGACACTTCCGGTATGAACATCATCTTTTTCACTTGGTGCTGAAACAGCCAGATCTAGAAATTACTGTTGACATTAAACTGTAAAATGTATGTCACTTTGCACTTACCATCGATTCCATCTTTGTTTAGATCTGGTATGCAAACAACGGCAAAACCAAAACGTGATTCGGCTGCCGGTCCCTGCAATATCTCGCGTCGTTCGTCAGAAAACTGAAATAAAGATAGATCGAGTCTATAAATAAGAATTCACTCTTTACCCTTCCATTTAGTCCATAATAGATATAAACAGCACCACCGTACGAAGGTTTCTTCGAATAAAAAAATGGTGCACTAACAACAAGATCTGTATGTCCATCGCCATTTAAATCTCCCGCAGTCAATGTATGTCCGAAATAACTTCCAGTTTGTTCACCAACTAACATTAATGGTACAGATCGATTATTATTCATATGAAAGATCGGTTGCAATGTGTCATAACCAAATGTATGGGATGAAACAAAACGTTTTGTAAAAAAACGTATCTCTCCTCGACCATTGGAAGCACGTGGTGCCGATGCGATAAAAATATATGATCGATCATTCATATCCCGACTTTTAGTTTTGATAATTAATACCGAATAACCTGTGTTTCGACAACAAGAACGAATTTGAAAAAGAATGTCGATTTTTTACCACTTACCAAGATAACTGTAGGGTTGTGGTGTTGAAGAAGTCGATTTAAAAACGTACAATTGTCGAAGAAGTGTATCAGAATAATCAGCTTCAATCCGACCAGACCATTGAAAAGCACCAGGTTCACCAAATGCAATAATATCCGATCGCTGAAAAACAATTTATAATTATTTTCAATCAGAAACCAATTGGAACATCGTACTCCTCCTCCGGCCGGCATATAAGCTAGACTAAGACCACTCTGACAAAGAGCGCTTCCTTCGTGCAATAGTTCGGTTTCTGAGCTTTGTTCACAAAAATCATAGTAGGATATATCACGCTAAAATCAAGAAAACAGAATTAATCCCCGAGGCAAGCTTTCATCAAAGTCGTTTACACGATCTGCGGAAATTTTGAAACAACCGCCACGACTATCATATCGATCTATACTGATATTACGCATAAGACGATATCCGCATGTCTGTAGAAACGAAAAACAACAATAATTTATTTTAGTTTTGGATTCTTCTCTGTTTACGTACGACGAGTGAATCATTGGACGTCGCAATGACTGATGAACCAAGCCAAGCGTCATCAAGTACATTATGAAACGACGGCATTGATTGCGACAAGTCATCTTAGGAAAAAAAATTCAATGAAGAAAATTGACATTGAACAGACATAAGTTTACCTTCACTGAGTATGGCGCGACATTCATTTGTTCCATTACGACATTCGAAGACATTTCCAAATAAACGACCATTTGGTACTGTATTGGTACTATTGGCTATAACTGAAGTTGATCGTTGTCGAGCGAGTAGTGCTTGAGGTGCACCGACATAAAACCTTTGAAAAATAAATCAGATGAAAGAATGCCGTTTCAATCAGCTCACCACTGCTGTTTAGTTGACGATGATACAACAGCAAAGCCAAACAGAGAACCCGATGGACCTGTACGAAAATCAGGAGAAATTATGTCGAGGTTGAACATTTTGATCACCGGTGTTTTGGAAAAGATGAGTAAAATGAATAAAAATATTGCAAACATCTTTTAAAGCTTTTGAGCAAATGACCGCAATTGATTATTCATTCACATATTCACTGTTGATTTGATTAAATACAATCGGACGAACGAGGCGAGAACAAAATCTGACAAGCGAAGACGAAGACGATTGAATCATCAGTATACTAGTGGCCTTGTATTCATCAATTATGATTGGTTAGATCAGATACAGTTTCTATCAAGAAAAAAAGATCTTCTTATTATAGATGTCGCAAAAAAGTGATTGCTTGCATCTGATGAGAAAAAGGAAAGAAAGAAAGAAAGAAAGACTGTAGCAGTTCAACACAATGAGTGTATATCATTTGTTAAGACATTAGAATTTCGAAGAAGAGAATTGGATTTCTTCTTCCTTTCTCTCTTACGTAATAGGACAGTTCGAAATTATTTTATGATTAGAAGAAAAGAAATATTAACTCTGCCTATGCATTAAATCTGCATAATGACGCAAAAAAAAAGGAAGAACGTCTCTTGCAGAATAACATTATCCGAAGGATGAAACTATACGATCAATTCTTGTCATTGTAGCGCGAAGAAAATTTTTCCGGCTATTATCATTTGTTTGGAACAACGTTATGCTAATTCTCTAGTTCATAATGGGATAGAAAAAACGAACAATTTTCCCTCAGGCATACATCCATTAAACAGAACTTTTGGCTCACTTGTACATTATATCATCTACTTCATGAAAGATGTCTTATTCATTGAGAAATCAAGACAATATCGTTCTATGTGGCATTTTTTCAGGTCAAGATCAAAGATGACTATCAGAAGATGAATGACGGTCGATGATCTAATACGAATCACTGTTCTCGATCAAAATATCATCATCTGTTCTTGTGATCGGATAATTCTCCAAAGAAAGATTTGTTATCGTTATATATCTAATAAACAAAAGGTCGAAGAAATATCAATTTTAGACAAGAAAATGTCCGTTTTTCGTTTGATACTCCATGCCACCTGAAACTATTTATAGAATAGAAGTCATTTAGAAACTAATTATTTTTCTCTTCATGTTTGAAAGTAAATGTTATTGTTTCCATACCCTTTACGTAAATGGCAATTCAATGCGTCTACTTGTTAAAGAGATTTCATGGGAGAAGAATCAATCTGAATAACTTTCTAGTCTTTGATGTTGATTTAATCAGATTTTCAAATTGATTTCTTTTATTTTCAAGTATCTGTGTTTCATTCATCTGGAAATCTTTTCTTCAACGTTTTTTTCAAATTATATCAAACATTTATCATGATTGAAGGAATTGATTTCTTTTTTGCACAATCTTAAATTTCCAATTCAAACTCGACACAAATTGTTGAATTACAAAAGATAACAGTCAAACTCTGTTCTATGTTGCTTCTGCCGTGTTAAAAAGAAACCCTAGGGTTTCTAAACAGTAAAACAATCTTCTCTCGCTTCTTTTTCGAGGTATCAATCAACAAAAAACATGTTTTTTTTTACATTTTTTTGTTTGCATTGATGAGGAGACATCGGAATCTTTTTACGATTTACATCTCGAATTTTCGTCAGGGCGAGAAGCGAACACGTAGACAGTGATGGTGGCTAGCTGCACGAGATAGGACACGTATGCATAAACCTATTGAATCAAGCAAGAAGAAAAGGCTATCTTGAATTGAATCGATGGGAAGAGGAAAAAGAGGAGAAAAAAGATTAAAATACCATCTTCAACAAAAAAAAAGATATGAGAACCGAGGGAAAAGGCAAATTGAAAAGATTTCGTTGCATCTACAGCTTATATTGGCATCACGGAAGAAAAATGAGATAAGCGAGATAAAAAGACAGCATACAAAAAGAGGCATTTCGACTTACTTTGCACTACAGACAGACTTTCTATCATTTTCGTATACTCGAAGATCATACGAATACTTTCTTTTCATACGTATAGTCTTACGGACATTCTTGTCTATTTTTAGAATGAAATTTACTGCAGTGTGTATTGCTTTATTGGCGACTGTCTATGCAGTCAGTTCTCGAGTAATCAGTGAAACTGATTTAATCCAACGATTAGCCAAGCGTCAAGCTTACAATGGTAAGAAGTCGAGGAAATGGCCTATTTAACGAAAATACACATTTACATATTCAGATCCAAATTGTAATCCTCGAGCATGCGCTGTGCCTAATTGCGGAAGAGATTATGTTGCAGTAACCCTTCCAGGTGAATGCTGTGAACGTTGTGTGCCATGGGAATACGCTCAAAGTACTGGACTTGCAGTCAATCAAGGTCCGCAAGCAGTACAAGGACAAAGTAGTTTCCAACCTCAATATGATCCGTATAGTCAACAAAGTGGTGTTAGTGTTTACATTTATGGGCCTGATGAGGGTGCTCGTGTATCAAATGGGCAGAGTATTTATTTTGACTGTGAAGTCATTGCTCCATATAATCAAAATGTTCAACCACGTTGGTCGCGAGCTGGTAACCAAGTAAATAGAAAATATTGCATAGAAAGAGTTTTCATTTTGAAATTTCGATGTTTCGTTGTAGCCATTACCATATAAATCACAGAGCACAGTTCTTCCTGGAAATCGCAAACTTGCCCGTCTTACTATTCCTGATGCTACCCCTGCTGATGCTGGTCGATATGAATGTAGTGCTGGTACAGGCAGTCCAAGAGATCAAGCTACCATTGACTTACAAGTTAGAACTGGCTTTTCTCATTTCTATTTCATCATCTTACTATGTTTGACATCTTTAGGTAACCGAAGGTGGCTATTATCCTCGACCACAGCCACAACCTCAACCTCCAGCCTATAACCCATATAATCAATATCCTTATAACCAACCAGACCGTTATCCACCACAACCTCAACCACAACCTCAACCTCAACCCCAGCCTCAACCTCAACCCCAACCTCAGCCAGATGGTGACAACGAAGGCGAAGAGGAAGGCGAAGGCGAAGGCGAAGGCGAGGGTGAAGAAGATGGAGAACCCGCGCCAGGAGAACAAAATGCAGGTAAACCAGATGCTGGCAAAAAACCCGAACCAGGTGCTCCTGATGATGGCGAATACCCAGAAGATTATACCGAAAATGAATAAACAACATAAGAAGAGTATAGTCTTAAAAGCTGTTTACCAGTTTTCCGAACTCGCGTTCTAGCAATATTAGCATAGGTTCTTTTTTTTTCATTTCAAATCCGTTTTTTTGTCTACTTTCTTGTCTAATGCGGATTTTCATATAATAAACATCCCGTTTGCATTATCTTTAATTTTTATTTTCAACTCAACAATTACCGAAGACCTATAAACAATAGTATTCAAACCATATGTAATCAAACATAGATCGATCATATCGTGATAGACATCGATTCACCTAGTAATTCAATTCGTGTACATCTTACTATCAGATGCTCGTCTAATATTAGTTTGAAATCGATAAGATTACCATGATAACACTAGTTTTTCATTCAATAAGATTTGTAACCGCAATGCTCTTTTTTAAATCATCGTTTACAAAAAAAAACAAACTCAAATCGCATAGATTCTGATGGAAATTTAGCTACGTTTTGGATTTGTCGTTGACCCTATAATGTTAGAGTTAGCGGCGTAGATAAGGCCTGGCATGTCCTGGTGCCGCCAGACCGGCGAGGACTTATTAGAAAGCCTCTGAGAAAGTTTTTAGCCTTTTAATTTTTCGTAAAACTTTCCTGAGCCATCCATATAAGTTCTCTTTTCCATTTCGATCGTATAATTTCCGTTCCAAATAGGAACAGCTCGAATAAAATGTAAACATATTTGAGACATATAACCTATCAGATGTTTCGAGCACATCAACTACTCATAGACATAGATCATATCGTAAAAGAACGATCAAGTTATTTTTGCTTTTGCTTTTTAGAATATTAGCTAAACACTTTGCTTATACTTAGACTTACCCATGTGTTCTACTGCGATTGGGTTGCGACTCAGTCGTTGAACAATAAGCAATATCGAAACGTATATACACAAACTTAAATCTTGAGAAAACCGATGATAAACTTCGTCAAACGCAAAACAAACTGGCTGGCACAAAAAATGCACTGTATGAATTAAAAGATAACTTGGTGGAAGTCCAATTAGGATTACAAAAAAAAGAGAATCTTTGTCAGGCGAAATTGTTTTGCTCTGTGTTGGTGGATTCTTCTGTTAAAAAGGATAAACTAATTTTGTTTTTTTTCATATTCTTGATATAATATTGATTTTTTTTCTATTATTCATATTTCTTGCTTTAATAGTTATTGTAAATCTGTGGGATTAGAAAACAATATAATAAAAGGTTATTTCTTTCACAGTCTAGTATCCACTCAGCGATCTTTTTATATCCAATAGAGAAAAAAGCGAATGGGAATTTGAAGCGATAAATCGTCATTGGGAAAATAACTTTTGTCCACTTTATTTCAAGTCATTTTAATTGAATTTATAGTTATTAGTTTATTTGTTTCACCACATCTTTTTCCATACTTTCTATATTGACCGAAATAGATGCAAGCATTCCCTGATGTTGTTAACAATTGCTGCCAACGATTGTTACACATATGAATAACAAAAAAGTCGTTTTGGGATCTTTGGATTCAATGAATCTATTGAATAAAAACCGCAATGATGATTCATCGGTCTGATTTTTCTCTCGTTATGGCTAAGAGAAAAGTTACTCATTTCGCACCGCTTGCCTCTAAATAAATGCCATCATAAATGAATAATCAAATCGTTATTCATTCAAAGAACCGAAATGAGTAATTCATTCCAACTGTAGAAGAGAAAGCTTTTTTTCCAGTCATTTTCAAACGTATTTATTGCATAAATCAAGCTAGCCCTTTGTTGAAGAATACGTTGAGTACAAATATCTGATTCTCCTTTTTGCAGGTTGTTTTGTCATCAACAAAACCGTACGATAATATTTTTCTCGACTTTTTCGGTTATTACAAATGTAAATTGTCAATGTACTTTTTTTTTATAACGAAACACTTCACTGTACTTTGACAGGTCCCTTTTTT